TGCCTTTTCAACCCGACGCTGTCTCTTGTTGTATGTGAGCGTGCCGTGGTGTTTTTTATGTTTGTGCTGTGATGGCTTGTAGTTGTGATGTGTGACTGCCTTTTTATGTGTCTAGTGGTTCAAATGGCCGTATCTCTGGTTATACTTAGTCGTTTTTCATGATTTTTGTTTCCTTGTGCGTGATTCTTCGCGCTTGTACTTTTCGGCATGATAGAAGCCGATGAAAATGTCTTGTTCTCTTGTGTTGTTTTGCGTGCCGTCGTGATTTTGATGTCGGGGTTGCACAGCTTTGCTTTCAGCTCTGAGGTTCAAACACCTAATTTATTATTTATTATCATGGACACGACCGCAATGGCAAAGGTCGTGTCGCTCAAGCGACGCAACTTGTCTCGCCCGCGCATGGTCAAGACAGTGCTGACGCCCCACTCGCGTGAGGCCAGATATGCCTGCTGCAGGTCCAGCGCGCACTTGGCCATCAGGTCGTCCAGTGCCGCCTTGGAGCGGAGGGCAATGATCTCAGCTGGTCGCTGGGTCGCCGCGTCCTTGACCGTGGCCATCTGGAAGCCGGCTCGCTGCACGTGGTTCTCAAAGTCAGCAGCCCTCGATTCATCCTCCAAAAGTCGATCGTAGACCCGAGGGTAGCGAGTGGCCAGCTTGGCCATGTTGCAGACATAAGCCACCGGACCGCGCTCAACCAAGTCGTGCAGGCCAAAGCCCCCGGTGTTGGCCCGTGTGAAGAGGCGAGCCTCCAGGAGCTGTTCCAGCGTAACGTCATGACCTTCAGCTCCAGCCGGTGCAGACAGGTTTACCTTGGCAAAAAAGGCTTTGACAAAGGTGTCCTTGCAAGCACGGTTCAAGAGCTCGGACAAGCCCGACGTGAGACTTGGGGGCAGCGTGTAGAGGTGGCTGATGAGGCTAGGCACGTACTGCATGGCCGTGAGGAGGGCCTGAAGCGAGACACCGGTCGTCAGCATGTCGTTGAGCTTGCCAGCAATGTGCTTTGCCTTGTCGTTCAGCTGCTTCTTCATCCACTGTTTTTTTTCTGACATCTTGGCGTGAACCACGTTGTCAGACAAAATCTGCAACCCCGCTCTTTGCGGCCCGCGTTTTGGCGGCGCCCTCGCTCCCACCGTGTCCGCTCGCTTGCTCGCTTGCTTGCCCCGCGGACATGGCCACTGAGTCCGGCGGCGAGGATTCTTGGACCCAGGTCCGCGGTGCTAAACGCCCGAGTGCCGAGTCACCTCCAAGCAACACCACCACCTCGCCTTCCCAAACTCGTCGTTCTGCAAAACACACGAAACATGGCAGCGCTCGCCACGACCGTAACCATGTTTTCCCTGACCCCATGACCACCCCGCTTCGCCCTCACGCCCGCCACGCTGTCCCTACCGCCCGTGCCTCGTCTCATGTGCCCTCGACGTCCCCCGCTGCCGGTGCGACCGAGTCTTCGGCACGTGCCGTCGTGCCCGCGGCCGAGCCAGTGACCAG